CAGTCAGGTCCTGTCGAGCCGAGCTCCAGCGAGCGCGGGGCCAGCCTCTGGTCTTGGCGCTTTTGGGACCTACGTATGGCCACCTAGCACTACATCTAAGTTAACTACATCGGCGTCTTCGGCTCGGACGGCAGGACAGTCGCCGCCGAGCTCTAAGCTGGGCGACGCGCGCGCCGCCTTAGTGGCCCGAGGGCGCGTCGCGCACGGGGTCGGCACAGCAGACTCGCGCATCGAGGCGCTCGGGGTGCCGCTCGACGGTCGGAGGCGGCATGCGAGGCTGACGGCCGAACGTGCTCGGCGGGCACGCAGCGCTCTGCTGGCACTTTCCTCGCTGAGGAAGGTGTCGGGGCGGCGGGCGGGGGCGATCTTCGGCCGCGCCGCCTTCTGCGGCCTTATGCGGTGCGAGACGCTGTCATCGGTCTCAACGGTGTACCCCTTCATCCGGAAGCGCGATGATGAGCGCGTTATTATGTGGGCTTCTGTGGCCGGCGAGCCCAGGGCCCTCGCCAGCCTCGTGGCGGGCGATGCTCGCTTCATGTTTGGAGTCTGACTGGAACCCGCTCGTAATGGCGATGGGCGTGTCCGAGTGGGGCTATGGGATCTGCCCCCGCGGGTTCGACCCGAACGACGTTGCTGCCGTTGGCCGATGTCGCGAGCGTGACTGATACATCAACGAGTCGCACGCGGCGGCCAGGTCTGCCGCGCTCGGATGCCGGGGCGGCCATTCGGGCGATGCCTGGCTGGTCGGCGTTCCCGAGGTCGCCGACATCGACGGCTGCCTCGGTCGCGACGGTCTGGCTGTTGCCCGGTCCTTCGTTGAGGCGCGAGGGCCATGATCGACCAGTCAAAGTGGCCCGTCGTCGGCGGCTGGAAGTTCGCGGAGGTCGAGGGAACTGTGATGTTTAGGGCTCGTGCCCTTTTCCGTGGGATGGAGTGGATCGCTCGAGTGCGTGCCGGGCGCAACATCCGACAGGTCCTGTTTGCCGATAGCCTCGGACTCGTGCTCTCAGTGGGGCGATGGAGGCGCCGTAATTGTAGGGTGGAGATGGCGCCGGGTGTCTCGGCAGCAACGTTCACCTTCTTGCGCGCTGGACGCCGTCGGAAAAGGGACCTGCCGACGGCCCCTCGCGCCGCCATCAGCCGGTCCCGACTGCGTCCATAAAGGGCGTTGAGCATGATGGCTGCCCCCTCGCTCAAAGCGCGCAGCCCTTGGCTTCGCGCGCCCCCCTGATCCCGCGGGAGTCCCTCTAGGTTCTGGCGCCGCAGGGATAGCTCACGAGGCCAGCGTTGCTGCCCCCCGCCGAGAGTTCCCAGGCGCGGTCGCAGCCCCCTGTCTCCGTCGAGACAGCAACCATATCGCAACATGTCCCGTAATTATGTCGCGAGGTACTCTTTCTCTTCTTCCAGTACTTGTGCACTTGGAAGGCTTTGTGGTGCGCTCGGAAGCACTGGCGCATGCGATGGTATATAAATTGACATATATATACATATATACATATATCCTTCAATTGGGCTAGACATAGTTGTGCGCTATGGGACACTGGTATTCCGAAGAATATTGTGACGACAGGCAGGGAGAGCCTCTTGCCTGCGTCAGGGCATGCGCCAACTACTACGCCAACAGTCCAGGGCATGGAGAGCCCACCACACGCATCTACGAACGCGCCTCGGGGTGCCCACCGTCTGCATCGCAAAGTGCGCCTACACCATCAGTTGTTCAGGGCCTGGAGTGCCCACCCACTTCTTCGCAGAGTGCGTCTACTACAGTTGTTCAGGGCATGGGGTGCCCACCTCCTGCATCACAGAGTACGCCGACTTATACGCCAGCAGTTCAGGGCATGGGAGACCCACCTCAAGCATCGAAGTGTGCACCCACCGCCACTGCAGTCACTCAGGGTACGTACTACCCACAACGCACCTACGAGTGCGCCCTCAGCAGTGGTTCGGGGCATGGGCAGCCCACGTCGATCGCCTGCGAGGGCTACCCCTTCGAGTACCCGTACTGAGAGGTGGACAGCTTCGCTGTTAGCACGCGCCCGCGCCCTCGCCCAGGCTGGGGCGCAGAGCCGCTCTGAGGACCCAGAGCCTAGCCTGCCTAGCGCCCCTGTACCCCCTCCTCTGTCCTCCGAGCCTCCCCTTCCTCCCCCTCCCCTTAAGAGGCCTCGCAGGACTTCCGTCCCACCGCCAGATCGCACTATTCATACATGCAATTCCCGCGGCTCGTCTTTTCCCCCCACTGCTGCCAGACAAAGCACAGGTGTCGATTCAAGGACGATGGATGCCATTATGAGACTCGTAGGAACGAGCAGGCGCTAAGACCTGCGTTTCGTTTTCTGTCAGTGTGTGACTGTATGGTTTATTTTCGGGTGTATCCCGATCCTAGAGGCACTCGGCGTCCGAGACATCCGTACTGCTGCCTCCGAGGGGTCCGATCCGATCCGATATATCCATATATATTTATATATACATATACATATATATATATACACCTACATAGATACATATACACGAAACACACTGTCGCAGCCGCGACTTGCCAAGCCTCCGTAGCCGTCTTGGTTCAAGACTCACATGTCCACGACCCTCCCTTTACACGCCAGGACGTTTCAACATGGCCCTCCTTCAGTGTCCGAGGCGGAGCGCCTACGCTCGGCCCATCCTGCCGATGGCCCTCAAGCCCGAGCACCGGTGCGCGCCCTCCCGCGCGGCGGCGCGCTGGGCGGCCCAGCTGAACGCAGGGCCCGAGGGGGTGCCCTCCAAGGCGAAGGAGTTCGACGTCGCGATCGAGCTGGACCACTCATGTTGGGAGCGGCTGGTCCAGATGCTGGAATCGATCACGCAGACGCCCGCAGGGCGTCGAGCGCGGGGCTTCACGCGCCCGAAGCTCGCGGCGACAGTCCAGAATATCGCCGCAGAGTTGGGGTTCAAGCCAGTGGTTGCCCAGGCTCGCGACATTGGGGCGAGCTCGGACATGGTTCCCCGCAAGAGGGCGCTTGCGGAGGTGAGGAAGCGGGTCGGATGGCAGTCCGACCGCTTCGTGCTGAGGTGCGAAAGGGGGGCCCGCCTCTCGTCGACCTGGACGGGGCACCCGGCTTGGTTTTAGGACCCACGCCGGGCGGCGCGAGGAATGTTTTTTGGAGATTTTGCTTCGCGGCCAGGTACTGCCAAGGCCTGCATACTGCCATTCCTACTGAGCGGCGCATTTTCGCATTTGTCATCGGTGATCGGTTCACGGTTCCCCACCGTGTCGCAAATCGAGGTTTTTGGGCCCGGAACGTGATGCACCAGAGCTTGACTGGCACCACCATATACCGCCTTAGATGTGATCTCATGTCGACCAGATTTGGCGCAGCCGTGTTGTCATGTGGTCCTGGGCCCGTCCATCCCTTACTTCGGACACGTGTAAGTGACGCCGCTCGTTCCGGTGTTCCTGTGTAGCTGGCGCTCTCCAGTTTCATGTTGGTTCGAGTATGCGTGACATGCCCATGCTCGGTAATGCAGGGGGCATATTGTCCCACGCTTGCGGACATGGCCGTAGTGGCAGACTTAGTGTAGCTTCGTTTTGAATATAATATCTGACGACCTCTTCCGCGTTAGCCGCACGTGCCCAAGAAAAAAGGTCGCGCGTCGGCCGCGCCCCGCACGCGTTTGCCCGTCGCCCCCACGAGCTAGTCCCGAATACGTTTCAGAAGGCTGTAGTTGTTTCGGCCGTGGCCGCCCCGCGGTCGTTGCACTTATCAGTGTGACAGTCTGGCCGCTGCCATTGTTTTTTGGACTTGTCAGTGTGAGAGCATGTTTTGTTTCGGGAATATGATGTGTGATGTCTGGTGGTGTGAGGCGGTGGCGAAACCCTTCGCCCTTTCCCCTTCTGAGCCGCTTAGACCAGCGAACACCGTAGAGAAAACAGTTTCCCGCGATGAAAAAGAGTAAGTTCAGGGGTATGCGTGCGCATGGATGGTTTAGCGGGTTACTGGGCCTCGGTTCCATCGACCCATCACTTTGTCACTGTGTCGTCATCTTGTTTCCGTTGCCATTTCGAGCCGCCTCTGGGTTCTCCCATCTGTTTCCAGGATGTGTGGTGATGTGGGGCGGTGGCGGAGCCTTGTGCCCTTCTCCCATGTCGGATCCGAATCCTGTAGGCCACCGGACACAGTACACAAAACAGTTGCCCGCGGAAAAAAACAAGGGCAATTCTTTCCAGTCTTCATCTCTTCCGTGTTCCGCCGTCCCTTTCTTTGATTTGTTTTCCATTATTATGTCCAGCTGCCTCTTCATTGATCCGTTCTTTCTCTTCGTTCCCTTCTATTCACCCCCTTGTTTCTCTTTCGATAGAAACCCTTCTTCCACTTGCGACTCCCAGCCATGGTTCCTCCGAATCGTTCCCTGGTCTCCCCGTCTGTCGCTTCCAGTTTCGAAGTGTTTCAGGTTCGTTGGGATCGTTGCGTGTCCATTGCAGTGTCTGTCGTTGCGTTGCATTGCCGGTGTATTGCTTTTGCATTGGACGTTGCATCCGTTCGCATTGAATTTGTATTGAACGCTTGTGCAGCGAACTTATATATTTGTGTGGGTCATCGCAAAGTGTTGCGTTGCCCCGTATGCCGTTGCACTTGCCTTGCGCCTGCTTCCGTGGTGTTACATATCGGTGCACTTGCATTACATTGCGACCCCTTCACAGTATCAGGTTGTGTCACGGTGGTTCGCACTGGTGTCGAATATGTGTGTCTTTGTCTGAAAGGTTCGGTTTGCGTTTTTGGTATATCATGAACATGTTCAAGCTGTTTGCGGTTACGTGCGAGCGTGAAGTTGTGATCGTGTCAAGAGATGTGGCCTGCTAGACTACGCGTGCCCGCCAAGCTGTGCATGGCATCGGTATGGTTTCTGCATGCTCGTGCTCGCATGTACCCATTCAGATATTCACGTAGTGAGCAATGGATGGATCGATGAATGCCTAGCATTCACTTCGATCACCATGGCGTGTTGTTCGGCGATCGCCCCTCCTCATGATCTCATGTACACATTATTTCTTGTTTGCCTACTTGCCTCTCTCATGTACACACGCTTCTGGGATGGGATCCCTCGAGCGCATCTTCGCACGGAACTGGGCGTCTGGCCTCCTTGCGAGGTATGGGCCAGTGCACCATATTTCTGTTGAGGCCGAGGATTTCGATTGTTTTTTGCACATGTTCCTCGTGCACTCCACGTGCGCAAGCGCGCCGCGCGCAGCTCGTGTCAGCCGCCGCAGCTCCGTCGTTGCCGAAGTTGGCAGCGGCTTGGCGCCACCGCTCTGGGATGGGTTCCTATCGAGAGGTGCGTTTCACACATGACTTCCTTGGTGCACTACCCAGAGCTTCAGCATATTGGGCCAGACGACGAAAAGACAGGCGAACTTGCGTGTTGCATTCTTCTGGGGTCCGAGTGTGTGGGTAGTTAGCTCCGACGGTTGTGCAGCAGGAAGTTGGCGCCGGATCCGACGTCGCGAAGCAATCGAACCTGTCGGCTGTTCCCCAAGCTTGGCCTGACAGAGGCCCCTTTCGGGCCCGGGGGCCGTCAGCAAGACGGCCTGGGATGAAGCTCGAGCCCTGGGGATGGGAGGTCGGGGCTGGGAGGGCGTCGAGCGGGGGGCTAGGACGCGCGCGAATCGCTCCGAGGCGTTCGGGACCGCCTTTTGGAGCGTTCCGAAGCGCCTTGGGGAGCGGCCGCGGTGCCCGACACGTCCTCGAGAACGGATGGGGGATCGGTTTCGGCCCTCTGGCGCACCAGAGCCGCTGCCTGGGCCAAGAACCCCCCCTCGGGTACCGGCAACGATCGTACGCAGGGTGGGGGGCTGGACCGCCCCCCCCCCCCCATCTTGGTGCTCGCACGCGTGCTTTGGCGATCCAAGCGCACCCTCGCCCCGGCGTGTCCCACCGCGCCCAAGCGTTGCCGTCACCCGCCCCCCTTCCCCCCCCTGGGTAACGACCGTTACCGGAAATATTTGAACCGTTACCGTTACCGGTATTGGCCAGAGATCCCCGATTGGTCCCTGCCCGATGTTGTCCCTGTCCTGGCTTCGTCTTCGGTCTTAGGTGGGAGGGTGGGTGATACGAGAGACAAGGCACGCTCTTGCATGAGCATGGGCTTCGCCACGGAAGCGCTGGGGGGGCGCCCGGCGCGGATTTGCAGGACGTCAGCGCGCATTTCCCACAGCTTTGCTTCCAACTATCATGCGGTGTTGGGTCCTTGTTTTGAAGAGGTAGCGCCCCGCGTCCACTCCTCCCGCTGCCCCCTCCCTGCCTCCTCCCCTTGCCTCCCCCCTCCGCATGTCCACTGCGGTACACCCCTCACTTGTTTCGTGGTCCCAAGGGGAGCTCCACCTAAGGCTCCAGTGGGTGCGGCCATAATCCGGCTCCCCGCGAGGGAGAATGGGGAGCTCCTCCTCCTCCTCCTCCTCCTCCTCCTCCTCCTCCTCCTCCTCCTCCTCCTCCCTCTCCTACCTATTGGTAGTGGTGGTGGAACATCGGCCCATGACGGGAGAGCCAGGTGTCGGCCGCCAGGGTTCGTCGTCCACCCCCTGCTTCGCCCCCCAGGGGCAGCTCTAGGAGGCCACATGCGAACCCCACCCCACCACCCCACGAGTTCTAGAGGGGGGAGGTGGGGTGGGGTTCCCATGTGTCAGAGCGTGAATTACCTACCCCGCTTTCGCTTCCAGGCAAAACCAAGCCATACCACGCGCCTCCTCGTCAATCCGCCTGACCAGTACAGGCTGCAATTTGGCATCGTTTGGTATCTCTTAGAAGCGAGGGTGGTCAAAAGCGAGGCAGGTTTGTTTTCCCCCTAACGTGGCCTTCTACAGCTGATGTCAGGCGGGGGGGGGGACGCAGCGACCCCCCATCGCCCACTCCCCGCCAGCAGGGGCCTGATGGCCCAAGCCCCGCCCAGGAGCGCGCGGTGTCCCCCTCCGGGGCCCATCGCCGATCCTATCGGCGAGGTATCGCCGGTTCAAGCTCGATGCTTCCCTGTGAGCCAGTGCACCCCTGCTTTAGACAGGGGCGTGATTCGAGCTCGTCTCCATTTTGCCATTGCGGTGTTCCTGAGCACGATGCAGTGACATGCCGAAGGGTGCAGACGAACACGCAAACATCCTCTGCGAGCGACGCGTTGTGGTCTCAATGGGCGCACCAGCGTACAATCATTGAGCCAGGCACCCACCAGATTTGCAAGGCCGAGTGATATACTTTTTGTCGAACCTGCTTGACGCCAAGCTCCAAGTCATATGCTCGAGAAACTCACGTGTGAGACACTAATTTCCTCAACGCTCGAGCCAGGCGCACCAATGTTTAAAGCATGTTCCACGTTGTTTGTTTTTTCTCTGACCTGCTTCAAACCTGGTTCCAGGCCATCTCTTGGAGAAAGTCCCGCGCGAACCGCTCATCTTTTTTTGGCTTCGAAGTGGCAGTTAGTGTTTTGAACCTGGTTCCGAATTGGCCTGAAACCATATGTGTGAGGAAGCTCCACGCTGTTTGCCACTTTCGAGCCAGCGTTGACCCCAAACATTGAGCTACATCCCCCTTCCGAAAGTGTATGCAACTTGCATACATAAGGCATGTCGAGCCAAAGCGGTGAGAAGCCGCCCGGGAGAGAGGTTGTTTTTCCCCACATCCTAAGTGGGGTTCTTGTTTTCTCTGCACACCCTCCGCGCAGGATCTCTCCTCCTCCTCCTCCCTCTCCTCTGCTCCTCTTTGCTTCCTCCTCCGCATCATCATCACCATCACCATCACTCCCCACTCATCATCATCATCATCATCATCATCATCATCATCATCATCATCACCATCAGCATCACCATCACCATCCCACGATCACTCACCATCATCGGCATCGAACGATCATCATCATCATCATCACTACTCGCTGACTTGAGGCCTGAATATGGAGGAAGTGTCAGGCGGGAGCCTCGTCTGTGAGTGAATTGTGAGGAAGTCTCAGGCGGGAGCCCCCTCCCTATGGGGCCCGCACTTCATGTTTGAATCCGAGCGGGTCATCCGCAACGTGCAACTGTCGTCACTTTTGGGCTCTTGAGACCTGAATATGGAGGAAGTAGCAGGCGGGAGCCTCGTCTGTGAGTGAGTTGCGAGGAAGTCTCAGGCGGGAGCCCCCTCCTTATGGGGCCCGCACTTCATGTTTGAATCCGAGCGGGTCATCCGCAACGTGCAATTGTCGTCACTTTTGGGCTCTTGAGACCTGAATATGGAGGAAGTCTCGAGCGGGAGCCTCGTCTGTGAGTGAATTGCGAGGAAGTCTCAGGCGGGAGCCTTCTCCTTATGGGGCCCGCACTTCATGTTTGAATCCGAGCGGGTCATCCGCAACGTGTAACTGTCGTCACTTTTGGGCTCTTGAGACCTGAATATGGAGGAAGTCTGAGGAGGTCTCAGGCGGGAGCCCCCTCCCTATGGGGCCCGCACTTCATGTTTGAATTCGAGCGGGTCATCCGCAACGTGTAACTGTCGTCACTTTTGGGCTCTTGAGACCTGAATATGGAGGAAGTCTCGAGCGGGAGCCTCGTCTGTGAGTGAATTGTGAGGAAGTCTCAGGCGGGAGCCCCCTCCCTATGGGGCCCGCACTTCATGTTTGAATCCGAGCGGGTCATCCGCAACGTGTAACTGTCGTCACTTTTGGGCTCTTGAGGCCTGAATATGGAGGAAGTCTCAGGCGGGAGCCTCGTCTGTGAGTGAATTGTGAGGAAGTCTCAGGCGGGAGCCCCCTCCCTATGGGGCCCGCACTTCATGTTCGAATCCGAGCGGGTCATCCGCAACGTGCAACTGTCGTCACTTTTGGGCTCTTGAGACCTGAATATGGAGGAAGTCTCGAGCGGGAGCCTACGGCCCAGCCCGAAGGTTTGTCCCGACGGCTTCGCGATCTAGCCGTCGGCAGACGCGCGCGCGCTGGCCGAGGCGGCGACGGCGCTGAGGAAAATGGATTTGCTTGCCCCGACGAGGGGGAAGGGGAGGTGCACATGGAGAAAAAGGCAGGGGGATGAGGAGGGAAGGGGCATGGGGGAGGCCGACGACGAGGAGGAGGTGGCGCGAGAGGAGCAGGAGGAGGAGGAGGAGGAGGAGGAGGAGGAGGAGAAAGAGGAGGAGGAAGAGAAATAGAAGGGGGAAGAGAAGGCAGTGCAGGGGGCAAGAGAGGGTGTCCGCCAGGGGGAGGAGGAAAGGGCAAAGGGTAAGCTAAACAGATTCTCGTGTGGGGTCCTACCGTCGGAGTATTTGTAGTTTCGTGCCGGGAGGCATTCAGGTTGCAGTAGAAGTAACCGAGGTCTAGTGTTCCCTGGTGAAATGAGGGGGGAAAATGCTATTCCGAAGTGGTTTTATGCAATTTCCTACACCAGGGAAAACTCGGGAAAACTCTCCCGCCCGTGCAGGGTGAAGAGTGTCGTACCAGGAGTTTACGGGGGGGAAAAGGGTCCGCTTCGCGTCACCATAGCCGTCATTGCCCCATCTTGCACTGTGAATGTGCAACATGTGCACAGTAAGCTACGTGGTGGAAGCCACGTTGTGTAAGGTGACTGCGTGGTGTAGGCTGTGTTGCGCAAGCTGTTCGGTGTGAGCTAGGTGGTGTAGGCCATGCTGTGCAGACTGTGCGGTGCGAGCTGCGTCGTGCAAGCCATGCGGTGTGACCTTGGTCTGAGCTATGTTGCGTAGACTGCGCCGTGCAGGCTATGCGAGGTTAGCTATGCGGTGTAGCTCTGCGGTGCAGGCTCTGCGCGCCCACGAGGCCGCACGGGGCGCCCGCGGGCGGGCAGCGCCTCCGCGGACCCACCTGGGGCCCACGAGGCGCCCACGAGGCGCCCACGGGCGGGCGCCAGGCGACGCCTCGGCGGGCCCGCCCAGGGCGCGCGGCGCCCCCGAGACGCCCAGGGAGGCGCCCACGGGGCGGGCGCCGAGCGAGGCTCCGACGGAGCCGCCCGGGGCACGGGGCGCCCACGAGGACGAGGCGCCCACGGGCGGGCGCCAGGCGAGACCGCGGCGGGCCCAGGCCCACGCAGGGCACGGGGGGCGCCCACGAGGCGCCCAAGGGCGCCCACGGAGCCTCGGCGGAGCCACCCAGGGCACACAGAGCGCCCACGGGCGGGAGCGTGGGAGAAACCATGGGCGCACCCCCTCCCCCCCGCTGTGGTGGAGGATGGGAGGGGCTGCCCTCGAGTGCAAAACGCTGCTCGCGTCCTCCTCCTCCTCCTCCTCCTCCTCCTCCTCCTCCTCCTCCTCCTCCTCCTCCTCCTCCTGCGCTGGCCCGCCAGTCTGCACCAGCAGCCGCGCCACGAGCGAGGTTGACCCGCGGCCGCGCT